TTGTCCCCGGCCACGCGCTGGGGGCGTGGGTGGCCGCCACGCCCGACGGCGAAATCCTGGTGCTGCAGCTGTCGGCCCACCTCGACCTCGTGGTCGCGTTGGGGCGGAACGCCCCGTTCCCGCAGCGCGTGCGGGGGAGCGTCTACGCGTTCGGCGAGCTCGAGCCCGACGCGCTGGACCACCTGCGGCTCGAGGGCCGGGACCTCGCGCGCGTCCTCGGCGTCGTCATCCCAGCGGCGCTGCCTGGCGCCCGCGTGGCGCGCTGGGTCATCGCGGATCCCGCCGTCGAGGGGTTCGGCGACGAGATCGAGGCGGGGCTCGCGGCCAACGCCGACAGGTTCGCGGCGCGCGACGCCGTTGGGCTGGCGCTCGTCGACGACGAGCTCGGCTAGGTGGCGGTCGAGAACGTCCAGCCCAAGGACCAGCCCCAGCGGGTCGCCGAGAAGCGGCGGGGCCCGTGCCGCGACCCTCGGGCCCTCCCCATCCCGCCGCCGACGCGGGGAAAGCGAGTGCAGCTGTGCGCGGTGATCGCCGCGCGGAGGCCGCAGGAGGACCCGCCCTGGCCGCTCCGGGGCCCGAAGGCGCTGGCGGGGTTCTTGGAAGCCGTCGACGCGTCCGGGCTCTCGCTGACCGCGCGCTGGCGCTACTGGGCCAAGCAGTCCGGCGTGGCGCGCCTGGGCGGGCCCACGCACGAGCTCAGGGTGATCTTGGAGCTTCTCCACCACTCGCTGGCGCACGACCGCCTGGACGCGACCAACTTGGCGAGCTTCGAGCTCATGGCCCGTCGGGCCTTGCAGATACAGCGGGCGGTGAAGCGGCGCCCGCGTCACCCGACGATCGAGGGCTTGGACTCGATGTTGAGCAGCGAGCTCGACGAGACGGGCGGCGCGGTGACCTCGCGTTTCGACGCCTCCATCGCCGAGGAGCAGAAGAAACGCGGGATCATCCTGAAGCAGGAGCGGCTCTGGCGCGAGAAGCAGGACCACGAGCTGAAGAAGCGCGAGAGGTCCTCCGCGAGAGGTCCTCGGGCACGGCGGGGGCAGACGGGAGCGAGCGACGACCCGAGAAGACTTCGCCCAAAAGGCGAAGGCGAGGGCCAAGCCTCAAGACGGCTGAGGGCGCCACGTCGGCGCCCCCTTGGCCCGGCGTTCCGCCGGGCCTTTCAGCGCCCGCTGCCGCGCCTTCGGCCCCCACGGCGCGGCGGGGGCGGCCTTCCGGGGGGTCTCCTCCAAGGGCCATTCTTCTTTGTTTCGCCTTCCTGATGGCGGTCATCCCTTTCGAGCCGCCCGACGTGGAGAACGCGCCGCGCTGCTTCGATGCCCGGCCCAGCGCGCCGCGCGCTCGGGCGAGCGGGGTCGGCGAACCGCCGAGATCATTTCGTCCGCCAACGCGCTCAGCCGCGCCCAGGCTGGACGGCCGCTGCAGCCGCAGCCGCCGAGCAAGTTGCCGCCGACTGCCGCTCGGGAGTCCGCGATCAAGCGGATCCGACGCCGAGTCCGAGATGTTGGAGCTAAGCCATCGGACCTGGATCGCGCCGGAGCCCTGCAGGAGCTCCTTCGGTGCAAAGACTTTTACAGTGGTGCTGGCGAGGGCCCGACCCCTCGCGACTGCGACCCCGAGCGGATCGTTGAGCCGCTCTGGGACCAGCTGCTCAACCCACGCTCGAAGGCGAATCGTCCGAGGCTCGTGGACTTCTTGGCTCGGCTGGCGGCGCGCGGCCTGGTCGACGGGCGACGCCGCCGCAAGGCCTGCGTCGGCGCGTTCTTCGCGGCCAAGAAGAGAGGATAAATCCGCACGGCGGTGGATGGTCGACAGGCCAACCAACTTCATCGGCTCCCTCCTCGAACCACTTTGGCACCAGGCGAGGCTCTCGGCGCCATCAACCTCCTCGACGCGTTGGACGCGTCGCCCGGGGGCCTGGCCGACTTAACGATTGCTTCGACTCGTTGCGCGCCGGCTCGGTGGACCTGCAGGACGGCCTCTACCAGTTCAGCGACCCGGCGCGGGGCTCTTGGATGCGCTTCGACGTGGAGGTCGCCGCCGGCGAGCTGGGGATCGACACGATCTACGACGAGAGCTTGCGCTGCCGGGCCCCGGCGGGTCGGGGCGATCTGGTCTGGCTTCGCCGCGCGACAAATGGGCTGGAGCTGAGCGCTCTGGATGCGCCATGAGGCCCTTGTCGACGCGATGGGCACTGCGGGTCTGGCGGGAGACACGCGCGTCCTTGACAAGGCCCGCGCCCCGCAGATGCACGGGGGCCGGGTGGCCAGAGCGCCTTGCGTCGACAATGGCAACATGGTCTCGTTGTCGGCGGCCGCGCTCGACGAGAGGCTCGCGGCGTTCACGGCGGAGCTGGACCGGCGCGGGCTGCGCTGGCACGAGCTCGAGTGGGCCAAGCCGGGTCTCACCGCGCTGGGCCTCGAGCTCGCCGGCCGCCGGGGCCGCCTGCGGCACGCCGCGAGGCAGGCCTGGCGGCTCTACCTGACGCTGCATCGCGTGGCGGAGGCGCCGTGGTTGGCGCGCTGGCAGCTTCGGCGGATCGTGGGGCACATCGTGCACGACTTCTCCGTGCTGCGGCCGGGCCTCAGCGTCCTCGGCGAGTGCTACTACGATTTCTTCTGTGGAGGACCCTTCGACCCCGTCGTTCGCCTACCACGTGGTGTCGTGGCCGAGCTACGCGTTGCCGCCGGGCTGGTCTTCTTGGGCGAGGTGGACCTGTGCCAGGCCCCCGCTGACGTCGCCTTCGTCACGGATAGCCCCCTCAAGGGCTACGCCGTCTGCCAGGCCCGCGTGCGGCCAGCGGAAGTGCTGGAGGCCACCCGCTGGAAGGAGCGCCAGAGGCTTTCGCGTTGGCCTGTTTGGCGATCCACTTGGAAATAGCGCTATCGCTCGAGCTCTCCTCGCGATTCATCTTGCAGGAGGCGCGCTTCAGCAACCCGCCTGCTCGAACTGGCTGCTTGGACCCGCCTTCCCGACACGCCCGTTAGGGTCTACCCGGTCGATGGGCCCGTATAGTTCTGCCGCGCGTTTTTCTTCTCCCAGCCCCCTCTTGCTAATTCCGTGTTCCTTCCTTTTCCTTCCCCTTGCCATTCGTCCTCTCTTCCCCTGTTTCATATGCTTCACCAGTTACACGCGGCATGTACGGAAGAGAAATACCCTCAGGGGGTATGATCGAAAGCGAAGAGGGCGGGTACCGATGGTTTGGGATACACGTGTTGGACGGCACTCGAGCATAGAATATCGAACAGTCTTAAGATGTTTGCTGTTGTCGTTGGCGGTTTTATCGATAATATTGATGATGGTGGTGTTGTGGTTGTTGTGATGGTTTGTGTTGTTGTTGGTGGTGTTGGTGTTGGTGTTGGTGTTGTTGGTGTTGTTGTTGTTGTTGATGTTGTTGTTGGTGTTGTTGCTGTTGTTGTTGTTGTCGTTGTGGTCGCCGTCGTCGTCGTGGTCGTAGAAGTAGGACGCGGTAGCAACAGTGATACAGCATGAGGAGCAGAACGAAGGCCACAACAGGATCAAGGAGAGCACGCCAGCCAACCCTAAGATTCATCCTCGCCCTCCCGCGGCCCGCGACCGCGCCAGGAGGCAACGCCACCAACCTGGGGGCCGGCCGTCCGGTGATCGGAGGGGGGTCGGGGCTCAGGAGACGGGAGGTCAATCCAGACGGGGGTCAGCCAGGTGGGAAAGAAACACGCAGAGACAATTAATCGTCGACTCCCAGGAAAATATGCAAAAATATGGGAAGTGGGGGGGAAGACAAAAACCCCAAACATATAGGAAAATATGGGGATTATTTTTATTTTATTTGTGTGTATTTATTTGTGTGTCCTGGAGCCCCTTCGGTCAGCCAGGGCGCCGGATCCTGCAGGACAGCCTGCAGGAGCCAGGGCCGCACAGACCTGCAGGATATCCCGCGGGAGCCTGCAGGGGCCTGCAGGGGCCTGAGGGAGCCAGGTCCGGATGGACCCAGGCCAGGACGTCCCCGAGGGGGGATCAGGGGTCAAGCAGCGGCGAAGCGTCTTGTCGGCGACTACAAAGGGTGAGGTTATGCTGGGGTGTGGTTTGCGATCGGCGCCGTTGGGGCCTGGGGGGCACGACACTGTCCTCGTCGGGCCTTCGGGGCGCGGCGGAGAGCTCTGTTGGGGTCCCCGCCCGCTCCCCAGGGTGCCCCCCAGGGTGCCAGTTGCAAATCACACCCTTTGCAAACCATACCCTTCGGAATCGCCGATCTTGGCTCGCCTATAGCCCCACCAAACAATGTTTTTAGAACCTTTTGTGGCTTCCACGAAGTGTTCTTAGAAGATTTCTGGTGGAGTCTGTCCTGTTTTATCACATCGGGTTGATGTTCAAAGAACATTGTTTTCGCTCTTAGAACATGTTTGGGTTCTACGAACATGTCGTGGTATGACTATAGGAATGCCGGGGGACGGCCGGTCCCTGCTCAAAAGGGCAACGATGGGGGGGGACAGGCTCAGGGGGTGATGCATCGACCCTCCATCGCACGCTCGTCGCCGACAGGGGGCCCGACGGCCTGCGCGGCCCCGGAGAGTGCGGGTGCGCTGCTTGTCGTGGGCCTGCCGCCGAGTTCTGTCAGAGATGCTCAGCCGATGCCAGGGAGAAGTTTCCCCTCCCGTGCCAGTCCCCCCCTACTCTAGATTTCAAGAAGCTTGGGGGGGTACCCCCCCACGGGGGTCAACCTCGCCTCGTCGTCGCGCCGCGACGGGGGTCGGAGCGCCTTCGGCGCGCGGTGGCTGCCCGCGACGGGGGTCGATGTGGGGCTGTCGGCGGGGGTGACGCCCCCCCGACGCTGATTAAGGAACTCGGAGTATCCGTGCCCCGAAGGATAGGAGAGGAGAGGATGGGAAGCGCAGGTTGTCTCCTCCTCCTCCTCCTCCTCCGCCTCCTCCTCCTTCCCCTCCTCCTCCTCCTGCCCCTCCTCCCCCTCCTTCCCCTCCTCCTCCTCCTCCTCCTCCTCCTCAGCCTCCTCCGCCTCCTCCTCGTCCGCCTCCTCCTCCTCCTCCTCCTCCTCCTCCTCCTCCTCCTCCTCCTTTGCCACGTAGACTGTGGCGATCATGACACTCATGACACTCCTCCTCTACAATTACTCAATATGAAAATACTCTCCCTCTTCCCCTGATTGCGTCTGGGTGATGGCCGCGCACCCTCCGCGTACTGTTTTTTACACACAGGATGCCCGGGAAATCCCGGGAAACGATTCTCGCTGAGGCGCCGGCGTCATTTTTTCCCAAAATGCTGCTCTCGTTGAGGCGCCGGCCTCATTTCTGCTCCCGAATCGTTCCGAATCGTGCTCCCGCTGCAGCGTGGGCCTCATTTTCGGATCGGTGTTTGGCCTCCGTCGTTCAGGATGGCGTTCTCGCCCCAGCGCGGGCCTTTTTCTCGCGCGCCCATCCGCCCGCCACCACCGCGCCGCACCGCCACCACCACCACCACCACCACCACCACCACAACCACCACCAGCACCAGCACCAGTACCCACCACCACCCACCAGCACCACCACCACCACCCACCACCACCACCACCACCACCACCACCACCACCACCACCACCACCACCACCACCACACACCACCACCACCACCACCACCACCACCACCACCACCACACCACCACGCACACGCACGCACGCACGCACGCGCGTGCACCACCACCCACTACGCACGCGCGCGCGGAGCCACAGGTCCGCTACGACACGCGTCCGCGGATAGAGAAAATCAGCGCCATGGTAAGGGATGGGAGGGAGGGGTAGGACGTCAGATATGACGCGAGCGCACCTAGCTTGTCCTCCTCCTCCTCCTCCTCCTCCTCCTCCTCCTTCTCCTTCTCCTCCTCCCCCTCCGCCTCCTCCTTCTCCTCCTCCTGGACACCGTGTGCCCATGGACACCATCGGCAGATCCCCAGAATCTCAGGGAAGTCGTGATCGGAATACGGTAGGCTCGCGTCTTGTTGGCCGGCGGCGCCACCGCCGCCAGCGTTCAATTTTGAACACCGCTGGCGACCCAGAATCGGTCGAGGTTGAGCGATCGGACGTTTCGGGAGCGGCCGATCGGTCAAGGTTGTTGTTGAACGATCCCCGCAGTGTCAGAAGCCAGGGCCGATATCGGCACGACACGCACCTGCAGTAGACAAAGGAAGGGGGTGGTTCGGACAGGGCTCGGACGAGGATAGATCAGTTCCGGAGCGTTCTGGAACGCTCTCAGAGCGTTCGGGAACGCTCCGAGAAAGCCGCGGCGCCCAAGACATCCTCGGCAGGGTGGAGGGGGGGGGAGAAAGGAGGACGACGCAGGAGACTGGAGGGAGGAGGAGGAGGAGGAGGAGGAGGAGGATCCCTACCCGATTTTGTCCTCGTCCTCACTTTGGTTTCTGGGAGGGGCGGGGTCGACCTCTGTGGCGCCCGGCCGGTTGCGGCCCAGCCGCGTGGGCGCCCTCCCCGACGACGGCGCATAGGGCCTCTCTCCCCCCCGGCGGCGGGAAGGCGCCGGATCTCGCTGCCACGTCGGCACGATCGAGATGGGCACGGAAAGAAGGGGTACAGAAGGGGGAGGAGGAAGAGGAGGAGGAGGAGGAGGACGGCGAGGAGGAGGAGGAGGAGGAGGAGGAGGAGGAGGAGGATGGGAGGGAGGCCGCGGGACGCTCTCGTCAAGACGAGGACCCAACACCACAGGATGGTTGGGAACGTGCATGTAGTAGGGGCCCGACCACAAGAAACCTTCCACAAGAAACCTATCATTGAGACCGCAGGACGTTCATCGATGTTTGGTGTGCGAACGTCACGCTTTCCATGGCAAGACCATCGAGACCCAAGAGATCCAGGGCACCCTGGAGGCACGCAGGGTGTTTCTTGGCATGGGCCCCCACTGCACAATGCCCAACAGCAGTTCCTGTTCATCTTGAACAGGACTCGCTGTCCGCGCCGCCGCGGACGTCGTCCACTTGAAGCAGATGGCCGCCTGCCCAACAGCGGCCGCTGTCGATTTCGGACACCACGTGTTGTTGGGCATCGTGCTGTCGAGACGCTGCAACAAGGACCGCTTTGGGCTCAGGAGGGGCTCGCCTGCCCAACAACGGTCGCTGTCGGATTTGGACAACATTTGTTGTTCGGCATCGTACTGTTTTCTCCTCACCCGTTCCGGGTTCCTCCTCCTCCTCCTCCTCCTCCTCCTCCTCTTCCTTCTCCTCCTCCTCCTCCTCCTCCTCCTCCTCCTCCTCCTCCTCCTCCTCCTCCTCCTCCTCCTCCTCCTCCTCCTCCTCCTCCTCCTCCCTCCTCCTCCTACTCCTACTCCTACTCCTACTCCTACTCCTCCTCCTTCTCCCTGGTTTCCATGCGCCGCGCTCGGGGAGCTCGGGCTCCAGGGGCCCCTCCCGGGGCCACCGAGGTCGTTCAGAGAGGCGGCTCGGGGGGAGGAGCGAAGAAGACAAAACTACATGAAGATAAGCTGTCGCAGCTCCGCGCAGATTCCTTGGATCTGCGCTGGGGCCCCCTGGCGGCGTCTCTGGCGCCGCCCCTGGCGCGCTCCGCGCGCCAGGGAGGAGGCTACAGCGCAGATCCAGGAAATCCAGGCGGACCGTCTAATGTTTATTTTTATGTTGCCGTTCGAAGAAGAAGAATAATCATAACAATAAGAAGAGAGGATATTCATAAGCAGCTCCTTTCGAAGGTTCGCGCGATTTGTTGGAGCTGCTCTGGACCCCTTGGCGGGTTGGGGGGTCTGCGCAGACCCCCGCGGTCGTGACCCCTCATCCGCCTCGCGAGGAGGAGGGGGACCTCCGAAAGTCTCGGCTTACAGTCGACCCGCATGGTCAGGATTGGCGACCTTCCCAAAGGTACCCCTGCATCCTTGCCCCTTCGGCCCACCCCTAGCGACCTTCGATGGCCAGCCTCGTTCGAGAAACGTAAGCCTGGCCCTCCAAGGCTCCTGAATCCTTCCCGCGAATCCTTCTGATGCGTGTCGACTGCATTCCGACTCTCTCTCGCCCGTGGCACCCGCGGGGGCGCGAACGCGGTCGGCCACCAAACCACCCCCAACCCAACCCGAAGGCCCCGACTTGCCCTCCCATCTCCAGTGGGGGGGGCTCGGGAAACGTTGACAAAGAGCACACGAAGCCCGCCGTCCTCTCCTCCGAACTTTTCGTGGATGTCTGGCGCTGCGCGTGTCCAGACACGCCAGGAGCCAGAAGCCACGGCCTCACCCGCCGGGTCTGAGCCAGGCCCGCACGGCTGTCCCCAGCGGTGGTCGTTCGTTAGCTCGTCTTGATTGCCGCAGGCTGGTATTTGGCGGCGGCGCTCGAAAGGCCCTTGATGCGAAATCTCGGAGTTGCTGATCTTCAATTTGGCGACGGAGCCTTTGCTGAACCACGAGGTGCCCTCGGTGCGCCATCGAGATTTGGCGATGGGCCTTCGTAAGAATCGCTCGCCTGCGAGGGCCTACGTCTCGCATGTTTATAATTGTGGTGACGTCGTAAACATCTGTCCCATACAGTCGGCCCGGATTAGTAGGTCGACCCTGCCAGCTCAAGGGTACCCTTGTGTCCTGTGTCTCGCGACCCGTGCTTCCTACATTCCTGTGGGCCCTCGGAAGGGTATTGTGTCCTCTCGCGTGTCCTCTCCAATCAAGTCCGACTGTACAGTGAGCGGCTTGAGTAAGGAACACTTGCTTTTCAAAAGGGGCTCGGTCGTTCCCTAGGCTTGGATGCGTTATCCATCGTCCCGTATGCGTTTTTCAGTATCGATCGTTCTTTATGCATTGTTCCTTGGAAAACAAAGGGGCTTCGTTCCTTATTTAATCGCTTCGCTCATTCCGCCGGCCCATACAGTCTCATGTCTGCCGTTTGCCCGAGGGCCTGGTGTCAATGCGGCGCTTTGGGGGTTCCTGGGGCCGCTTGGGGGACTCCTGGGGCGCTCGGGGGGGCATTTGGGGGGCCTCCTGGGGCCGCTTGGGGGACTCTTGGGGGCCTCCTGAGGGCCCCGTGGGGGCCTCTTGGGGCCTCTTAGGGGCCTCGTAGGGGCTTCTTAGGGCCGAGGGCTCGAAATGTTGTTTCGTGTTCCCTCTCTGGGGCCCCTTTGGGGGCGTTCTTGGGGCCCTCTTGGACCGTTTTGGAGGCTTCTTGGGCCGTCTTCGAGCCCTCTTGGGCCATCTTGGGGCCCTCTTGGGTGCCTCTTGGGCCCTCTTGGGGCGATCTTGGGGGCCTCTTGGGCCGTCTTGGGGCGTCGGGAAGCCGAAAAGGTGGAAGCTCCAAAATCTCTCAAAAACCTATGGAAAAACAATGATTTTTGCCTCCGGGGGCCCTATTGGGAGTGCTCTTGGAGGCCTCTTGGGGCGTCTGGGGGCTATCTTGGGCGTCTTGGAGCGATCTTGTGGCATGTCGGACCCCTCGTGTACCATCTTGGGGGCCTCTTGGGGGCCTCTTGGCCTTTCTTGGGGCTCTCGGGGACGTCTCGGAGCCCTGTTGGTGCGCTCATGGAGCGCTCGGGGGGACCCGGCCGGGACCTGGTCGGGGTACTTTTCGTCCGGGGACCCCCAGGGGCCGCCCCGCGCGCGCGAACTAGAAAATTGTTAACCAGTTACCGGAGATCTTAGCACGCCTCTGGCCCGTTGGGCCGGCGAATTTCTCGTTCCTTAGGTCAGGCCGATGGCTGTAGAGCACACTAAGTAACCTATGAGAAAGTAGGGGGGTGATTGGCTCGGGGGAGGCATCGACCCGCAATGGCCCATTCCTCGCCGACGGAGGCCCGATGGCCCACTCCGCCCGCGCGCGTGCGGATCCGCTGTCGGCGGCCCATCGCCGATGCCCATCGGCGATGTATCGCCGATTGCGGTTCGATGCTTTCCTCCCCGAGCCGCCCCCCGCCCTGCCTCCCCCCGAAGCGCAGCAGCGGGCAAGGGCGGCATTGGCGCACGCGTCTTTCCTGTGCCCTCCGAAGAGCGAGTGACCCCAGCAGAGCACACTGACAGCAGGATGCTGAGAGGGTCCCGAGGGGCAAGTAGGAGGGTCATGAGAGGCTCCTGGGAGACTCCAGAGGAGCTCACCAATGACGGATGGAGGGTGACGATTGTCGAGGATTGAGCAGCGATTCGATCGAGGATTGCGTTGATGAGCAATGAGCTTCCAATTTGCCTCACCGTGGCGAAGGGTGTCCCGCAGAAGGCCCGTCCGCGAGCGGACTTCTCACCCAGACATCCTGCGGGATCCTATCCTACCCGGATCGCCGCACGCCGACGTGCAGGGGATCGAGCGCGGAAGAAGGAAGGAGATGGAGTGGGAAGGGAGGATGCAGGGGCGGCACTCGGGCTCAAGCCGCGCCGTGGCAGCCAGCACTCAGAGCCGCGCGCCCGATGCCGCGGGAGCTTCGCGGCGAGCCCTGCGGCCCGGTGTGCGTCAGCACTGCGGCGGCGGGGCAGCCCTCGAGTGCCCTGCGACGCTTGCGCCACCACGCCACGGCGCTGGCTGCCGCGCCGGCGGCGGCCGCGGGCAACGGGGCGGTGCCCGGCAGGGCGACGCCAGAGGGCACGGCCCGCTTCCTGGGCGCGAGGCCCTTCGGATGGGCACCGAAGGCCCTGGGCCGCACCGCAGTGCGCGTCTCGCCGGTGGGGTTCGGATGCCACAGGCTGGAGGACACGGAGCAGCAGCGCGCGACGCTGGAGCTGGCGGTGAGGCTGGGGTGCAACTTTGTGGACGTGGCCCCGAACTACTCGGACGGTGCCGCGGAGAGGGCAGTGGGCGCTGTGCTGCGGGGCCTCATCTCCACTGGCGACGTGCGGCGCGAGGAGGTCGTTGTCGCCACCAAGGTGGGCAATGTTTCTGGCTCCGCGCTGCAGCGGCTGCGCGGCGCTGGTGCTGGCGCCCAGGTGGCTCGCGTCAGGGAGGACGTCTGGCACTGCTTGGAGCCAGCCTGGATCGAAGAGGAACTCTCGCACAGCTTGGGCAGGCTGGGGCTGGAGTGCGTAGACCTGCTGCTCTTGCACTGCCCCGAGTTCGCCTCTCGGGCCGAGGGCGTCGACATGGAGGAGGTGTACCGGCGCGTGGGGCTCGCGTTTCAGCACCTGGAGGTGGAGGTGAGCCGCGGGCGCGTGGCTGGGTACGGCGTCTCTGCCGCCTTCCACCCGCTGCGGCCCAGCGACCCGGAGCACCTGCTGCTCCCGCGGCTGCTTGAGCTGCTGCCCCAGGGCCACCACTTCGAGGCCATCCAGTTCCCCCTGAACTTTGCGGAGCCGCACGCGCTCTTGGCCGGGCACGTCGCCAGGGACGCCCGCGGCGCCGCGCTCGACCCCACCGAGGGCGTGTCCGCCCCGCCGCTGGTCGCCCTGGCGCGGCGGCACGGCATAGCCACGCTCTCGAACCGGCCGCTGGACGGCATCTACCGCGAGCTCCGGGGCGCGCTGCGCTTCTCGTCGTGGGCCCCGCTCAGCTCGGAGCTGCAGGCCGACGACGCGGACGCCCTGGAGGCGCGGCTCACGGCGCTCTGCCACCCCTGCCTGGGCAGCGCCGAGGGCGAGGACGAGGGCGTGCGCGGGGAGCTGGCCGCCAAGACCGTCAAGGTGCTCAGCGCCCTCGACGGCGTCGACTGCGTGCTGGTCGGCATGCGCCGCGCGGACTACGTGGCCGGCGTGCTGCGGATGCTGCGCGAGGGCCCCGCCCTCGCCCCCGACGCGGCCCTCGCCGCCACGCGCAGGGCCCACGACTCGATCGACATGTGGTTCTGCGCCGCGCAGGCGGAGGACTGGTCGCCGCCGGGCGGCGCCGGGCGAGCGGCGGGGGCCTGAGCGCGCCCGGTGGGGGAGCCTCGCCGCCGCGTGCCGTCCCGGCGCTGCAGCCTCGGCCGGGCGAGGGCCCGCGGTGGTGGCCCTGGCCAGGCGCGGTGGTGCGCCTGCCGCCACGGTGTTCGGCCCCGTCGCGCTGTCCCCGGCAGGTCGCCGGAGGGGCGGTTCGACGCAGGAGTCCTTCTCCGATCTCGCGCGTCCTCTTCCTCCTCCTCCGCCTCCTCCTCCTCCTCCTCCTCCTCCTCGGCTGTTCCTCCTTCCCCTCTCCAGGGTCCTCTTCGCCAAGCTCTCTCCTCCGTTCTTGTGCCTTCTCCCCCTCCTCTCTCCTCCATCCCCCCTTCCCCACTTCCCCTCCCTCCCTGACCCCCTCCCCTCCCCAAGGGAGAGTGAGGGAACGGCCGAAGGCACATTCAAAAGTACCCGCATGGGCGCAAACGTCCACAAGCACCGTACCTTGATTAGGACCGACGTCGCCGCCCTCGCCTTTCTCGCTGTCGCCCTCGCCCTCGTGGTCGCTGCCGCTGCCGTCGTCTGCCGCCGCCGCCCCTTGCCGTCGGCGCCCCCAGCGCCGCCGCCGTCGTCAGCACCGTCCCTGTCCCCATCGCCGCCCCCGTCCCCGGCGCCGTCCCCCCCGCCGCCGTCCTCGCCGCGCCGCTTCCCCGCCGCCCCTCCTCTCTCGCCCGCGGGGCAGAGGTGAAGGCCGCCGGCTGCTGCGGCTGAGGGCCCCGTCGGCCTCCCGCGGCCGACCCGCCCCCTCCCTCGGGGCGGGGCGGGCTCGGAGCGAGCGGTTGCGCGCGAGGAGGGCGGCCTTCCGCCGGAGTGGCCTGCCTGGAGCTCTGGGCGCTGCGGTTCCTTCACGCCGCGCGCCGCCGCCCGGCTTCGGGCCCCTGGGGCCCTCGCAGATCGATCCTCACCAAGCGCGTTCCACTGCTCGCAGAGCGCCTACTCGCAAACGTACGAAAAGCAGATGTTCGCTTCGATGAGATTCATCGTAGATCCCCCGCGGCAGATCCAGGCCATTTGCGAGTAGTTACTCTGCGGGTAGCGGAACGCGTTCGTCTAGATCATCCGGAAGCGCCACAGAAGGATGGGGTCTGGGGCTCCGGTCGTGGTTTCTCACGATGCTTGTTGTTGCAACGTCGGATCTCTGGGTGCGAGAGCGCGGCCTCGCGGGGCTCGACGCGGGGCCCAGCCCGAGCGCACAGTTGCAGGCCTCCACAGTGGCCGCGCCGCACGCAGCGGCCAGCACAAGCCGCGCGCCAAGAAGAAACCTCTCCGCTGGGCCTGTGTTCCACCACCGTCACCACCACCATAAATTGGAGGGGGGACGGAGGTGGAGGATTAGGAGGAGGAGGAGGAGGGACTGAGGAGGGAGGAGGAGGAGGAGGAGGGAGGAGAAGGAGGAGGAGGAGGAGGATTAGGAGGAGGAGAAGGAGGAGGAGAAGGAGGAGGGAGGGAGGAGAAGGAGGAGGAGGAGGAGGAGGACCCCCTCCCCCACCTAAATACTCATGGCGGTGGCGGTGGAAGACGAGCCCACCACTCCCACCCCCGCCCGGGGCCCCTCGTGGCGCGCAGCCGACCGCGAGTGCGCCGCGCACCGGCCCCCGCGCGCCCCCACGGTGCAGTCTGGGGCGCAGCGCTGCCCAGGCCGGGCGCGGCCGCCTTCCCGCGGCGCGGGCCGCGGCGCGGGCGCGCGCTGCGCGCGGCGCTGCGCGCGCGTTCCGCGCGCGCGCGCGCGCCGTCGCGCGCGCGCGTTCGCCGCGCCCCCCGGGGGGTCGGCGGGCGGGGCGCGCCGCGCGCCGGAGGAGCGCCGCGCGGGCGGCGTTGGCCCGGCTCGATGGGGCGTCCGCAGCCCGCCGGCCGCTCTCGATTCCACGTGAGGGTGGCCCTTCGCCTGGTGTGAGCTTCGGTGTGGGCCCTTTGGGGTCCCCCAATCGCCGAACGCGATGCGGTCTTGCGCGCTTGTGTTTGGCCCCCCCGCGGACGCCAAGGAGCCGCGCACCGAATGTCATTCTTACCCAGGGTCTCTCTTGCGTGTAGCCGACACTCTCGGGATCCTGCAAAGGGGGGTTGTGCCCGGGGGGGGCATCTGCTTTGGGCGGTTCGGTGCAAAAACCGATCGAATTATTTTTCTGGATGGGCATTTGAAAGGCATAGTTCTGGAGAGGGGGAGGGCCATCTAGATGGGCATAGTATTGGCATCGCTCCATAGGGGAACGGCCACTGAGATAGGCATCTGATAGGCACCGCTCAAGAGGGGGACGGGGATCAAGATGGGCATATGATAGAGGCATCATTCCAGAGGGGAGGGTGGGTGGGTATCTATATGGGCGTTTGATAGGCATCGCCCAAGAGGGGATATGTGGATCGATATAAACATCTGACAGGCATCGTTCGAAACGGGGGGAGGGACATTTCAATTGGCATGTGATAGGTCCAGAGGGTGGGATGGGGATCTAGACTGGCATCTGACGGGCGTCAGCACAGAGGGGGGCTTTGCGTTTTTAAGGGCATCTGGTTGGCGTCATTCCAGAGGGGAGGGATGGGCATCACTGGAAAGGTCCACAGAAGTAGTCACATGGGAAGCCCCACAGAAGGAATCAGCTGGACCACTCTCCGCAGTAGCGATTAATTGGAGAGCTCCACATTCATAATCAACAGGAAAGCTACACAGTAGGGATCAGTTGGAAACGTCTCATCCTGATGGACCCTCGCCATCATCATCGACACTCGTTCTCCACCGATTGCACCTTCTGTAAAGAATCACCCTGACCAGGATTTGCTGGAGGAGTTTACTGGGAGGGTTGGCCAGGTTTGCCCGGGGTTGCTCGGAGGATTGTCTGGGATTGGTTGGTGGGTTGGCCAGGTTATTTCTTCGATCTGAAGTTTCCCTCGTCGGTTCCTCTCGTCATCCTGTTCCTCCCTCCTCGGTCCTTCTCCTGCCCCCGTTCCTCTTCTCTCTCCTCCTCCCGGCGCTCCTCCTCCCCCTCGCCCTCGCAATCCACATCCTCCTCCCTCGTCTCTCCTCATCGTCTGCCTCCTCTCCTCGTCCTCCTCCCCGCCTTGCCCCTGCTCGGGCAGGGCCACCTTCGAGGGCAGACAGTGCCGTTTCTTCCAATTGGCTGCCGCCCCGGCGGATCTTGCCCAGGCGCTCCCCATGCGGAGAGACCTGTCGTGCACGGCGCCCGCTCGAAAGGCCCACGGGCGCGCGCCCGCCCTCCGCTTCTCCCACGGCGTGTGGTCCTGTGCTTCTACTGGGAGGGTTGGCCAGGTTTGCCCGGGGTTGCTCGGAGGATTGTCTGGGATTGGTTGGTGGGTTGGCCAGGTTATTTCTTCGATCTGAAGTTTCCCTCGTCGGTTCCTCTCGTCATCCTGTTCCTCCCTCCTCGGTCCTTCTCCTGCCCCCGTTCCTCTTCTCTCTCCTCCTCCCGGCGCTCCTCCTCCCCCTCGCCCTCGCAATCCACATCCTCCTCCCTCGTCTCTCCTCATCGTCTGCCTCCTCTCCTCGTCCTCCTCCCCGCCTTGCCCCTGCTCGGGCAGGGCCACCTTCGAGGGCAGACAGTGCCGTTTCTTCCAATTGGCTGCCGCCCCGGCGGATCTTGCCCAGGCGCTCCCCATGCGGAGAGACCTGTCGTGCACGGCGCCCGCTCGAAAGGCCCACGGGCGCGCGCCCGCCCTCCGCTTCTCCCACGGCGTGTGGTCCTGTGCTTCCTCCCCTCGTTGGGCATGTCCCCTGCACCCGCCTCCCCAGGTTCCTCCCCCCCACTCCAGGGCTGGACCTAGACGGTGTTCTGGCGGTTTCGTGGGCCGGTTTCGTTTCGACTTCGTTTTGCGGTAGAGGTGGATTGAAGACAAGACAAGAAACAACGAAAACAAAACGATAATGGAAAACATTGTTTGGGTTCAGCCCTGCCCCACTGCACCCATTCCCTTGTGAATCGCGCATCCCCAGCTCCGTCCAAAACCGAGCTCTCGCCCCGAGTGGCAGGCCCATGGGGGACGGGGATGCGGGACGGGAGCGTGCTTTGCGGCATCGTTGATCTTTCGGGTTCAGTTTGGTTCCTGCTGCCTGCTCCTCCTCCTCTCCTGCTCCTCCTCCGCCTCCCCTTCCTCCTCCTCCTCCTCCTCCTCCTCCTCCTCCTCCTCCTCCTCCTCCTCCTCCTCCTCCTCCTCCTTCCTCCTCCTCCTCCTCCTCCCCCCTCCTCCTACTCCTCCCCCTCCTCTCTCCTCCTCCTCTCTTCCATTCCTCTCCTCAGCATTATCTCTCTCTCTCTCTCTCTCTCTCTCTCTCTCTCTCCCCTTCCCTCATCCCCGCTCCCCCTCGATCCCTCTTGTTCTGCTGTCCTTTTTCTCGTCGCTTTCCCCTGTGCCCTCTCCGAACCTGGGCTTGGGAGACGCGGCCTTGACTTGTTCCTCCTCTGCCCCTCCGCCTTCCCCTCCCCTCTGCCCTATCCCCATCTTCCCCCTCCCACTGCTCCTCCCTCTTCCGATCATCGTGCCTCCTTTCTCCGCTCGTTCAATATCCCACCACCCCGCCTTGCGCAATAATTGACAGTTAGTCAGTAGTATGTCGTATATTTGTATTTATATATAGGTCGTGGTATCAGTTCATGCCCTCCGTCCCACATCCCGACTTCGACAGATTGTCTTTACACATGGCTCGTTCAGAAGGCCTTGCATGATACTGCTGGCTAGAAGGAGATGTCAATTGCTGCTAAAGCCAAGAACTTCGAAATCTGAGCTCTGCAATTAGTCAGTTGTAATGCGACAGTATGTCTGAAACCACCCCATGGGTCTCACAAGTCAGTGTTGGTCCAGATGCGCATAGGTCGGCAACCACCTAGACTGCAGTGGGACGGCATTCGCGACCGGGACACCCACACGCGCCTTGCCCACATGTGCGCAAGAACGTCTGACTTATGGTAACGCGCCTCCATGGCGAACGGTTGGAGTGGGAACAAGACAACCCGTCAAACCTAGCACACGAACTCTCGTATCTACGCAGCTGGCTTTCCCTCAGCAACTCGCGTGCTGCAAGACAGCTCTCGGTTTGACCGCACCGCCATACACATAATTGTTTGGTCTGTTGTGCGTTTCGGGCGCGGTCCCAGGAGGCGGCTGCCACGACTAATTTGCCCCAATGGAGGCACGGTGTCTTGCAGGGTATCTTACAGGCTACAGTTCTAGTTTTCGTAGAATAAATACAATTGCTCCTTTTCAATATAACTAGTTGACAGTTTTCATATCTGTCTGCGTTGCCATCAAAAGTTGACCAGAATCTCCATTCGCTAACGGTGATACGTGTGAAGCGGCCGTGATGTTGCGAATGTGTGAACATGTTTCCGAATCGAGTGTTGCTCAGACTTGTTTACCCGAGATGTGTTTCCACGTTGTGTCGCATGAGGAAAACATAGGTTTATTGCTAGTTTACTTTAAGCACGACGCCGACATTGCAACGCACGCATATGGCGCGGTGTCCGTATTTTACCCCGGCCGTTTGCCGAAAACTTTCGTTATAATACCCACAGCGCGATCTACATCGTCATCGTCCTCATCGTCAAATTGTCGCCCGCGGGCCTTCTATTCCACGCTGCCTCCATGTATATATATATATACATATATAGATTGTATATATTGTAGTTATGTATATGTATATGTATATGTTTATATATATATATATATACATATCGGCGTTTTGTATGTGTAATTTGTTTTTGTGT